AATAATGGGTTGTTAAGAACCATTACCATTCCAAATTCTTGTTTTCTCCATACATTTTCGGAAAGAGAACTATATTAGAACGTTTTTACTTATGGTTTGAGAACATTAATGGTTATGGTTATGGTAGTCAGTAAGGTCCATTAATGGTTTTGTATTATCGCTCAACTTTACGTGAAATATATCGTGAATTGGTAATCAGTAATTTACAGGCAACCAATTCGCGATATATTCCACATAAAGTTGATCGATGTTACAAAACCATTCATGGACCTTACTGGTTACCATAACCATTACCATTAATGTTCTTAAACCATAAGTTAAAAGGTTTTAGTAAAGTTTTCTTTCCGAAAATGTATGGAGAAAACAAGAATTTGGAATGGTAATGGTTCTTAACAACCCATTATTTGTAAGGTCCACTTCCAAAAAACTATAATACTTAAGGTTAAAACTTTATCATTAAACGTTCATGTAAAGTTCCATAACCATTTCAGTTGAAGTTTAGCAGGGATTATAAACAATTTATAACCATTATCGGTAAGGTCAATTTATGGTTCGCGCTTATGCGGGTCCTCTTTACCAAATCTAACGGTATATACGGTAAGGTAAATAAATTTGGAAGCCATCAGTAACAATAATATTCTGTTTGCTGCTACACTGCGCTAGATTAAGAAAGACTAAGTGTGGATTGTGCTTAATAGGCCGGAAATGGGGTAGTTAACCCTATCTGTCAAAATTATTTCCTGGATCCACACCTACACAACTTAAAGAACGATGGTATTAAAAACATCGGAAGGAGAAGTCATAGCTGATGAAGGATATTCTCTATCTCCGACATGGTGCATGGTGCTTGTCCAATTTGCAGATGATTTCACGATAGTAGTCATCGGGAAAGATGCGGAGGAAATCACAGTCAAGGCAAACAACTTCCTACCTAAACTTGCACTTGAAGAGCTCAACCTAAAACTCAACCCAACGAAAACTGCAGCGGTACTCTTCTCCAGGAAAAACTCGGAACAACTCAGGATAAAGATAGGAAACCACAAGGTTCATATCAACAATACCCACAAATATCTAGGATACACCTTGGATCGAACCCTCACACACCAGAAACACATAGAAGCGGTAAGGGAAGAAGGAGCTAAAAGCTGAATATAATCAAGATGCTAAGGAAACGTTCTAGTAACGCAAACCCTCAGACGCTGATAAAAATAGGAAATGGAATCAGCAATTGCGTAATCTGCGTAACCGTCTGCGTATAGCTCGAAAACGTTACTTTCGTTCCGGGACCGCAGCAAACAAGTATACGGTGCAGCTAGTAGAAGCAGAGTATAATAGTTTGCAGGAAGCTCGCTTTCGTGAGTACATTGACAACCTCCAGAAGGGTTTCAAGGAAAATCCATCGTCGTTCTGGTCTTTTATCAACTCTCGGAAAAGATCAGCTGGTATTCCCGTGGACGTCACCTACACGGTAACCGCAAAATACCCAATAATGACTACAAAGTAAGCATTTTCGAGAGACACTGGGACTACTCATTAAATGAGTAAAAATATTACCCATTTATAGTATTTGTTATTCAAAAATGAATACTTACTAATTGTTTTTGTAGTTGTAATTACTCATAAATGGGTAGTCCCAGTTTCCCTCGAAAATGCTTACTTTGTAGTCATTATTGGGTATTTTGCGGTTACCGTGTACGGTAGTAGAAGCTCCACCACTGACACCGCTTCTGCTGACCTTTCCGCTGACTTTTTCCGAAGTGTTTTTGAACCCGATCAAACTCCTTCACCGCAGCAATACATTGATCAGCTACCAAGATACGACATTCACCTGCAGCAGCTCATCTTCAGTCAAGACGCTATTCTCAAAGCCCTTTGCTCAGTCGATCCATCGAAAGGTCCAGGCCCGGACCGTATTCCACCGTCTTTCGTCAAGAACTGTGCAGCATCGTTATGTCTATTTTCAATCGATCGCTTAAGGATGGCGTTTTTCCGGATTCCTGGAAGCTCGCCTCAATTACACCAATCTTCAAGTCCGGTAACATGCACAAAGTGGAAAATTACCGACCTATCTCGATCCTGAACTGCTTGGCCAAAGTTCTCGAAAGTCTTCTGCATGAGAAGAGTTTCAGCATGGATTCATGAAAAACCGCTCGACAGTCTCTAACTTGATGACACTTACACGAACACTCTTATAGGTAGCATCGAGAAGCGTCAGCAAGTGGACTCCGTTTACATCGACTTATATAAGGCTTTTGACAAAGTCCTTCACGACCTAGCCATTATGAAGTTAAACCGCCTTGGTCTTCCACCGTGGATCGTTTGTTGGTTGAAATCATACTTATCATCCAGGAAGGCTTTCGTTAAGGTAGGTGATTACATATCCGAGGTATTCCATATACCATCGGGGGTTCCACAAGGGAGTCACCTAGGACCTCTCATTTTCGTTCTGTTTATTAACGACGTGTGTGATATGCTAAGTTCCTGTAAGTTGCTATATGCGGATGATCTTAAGCTGTACCGTGTGATCAAATCGAACGTGGATTGTTGCGCACTACAAGCTGATATAGAGCGATTGTCATCCTGGTGTCAGATGAATGGAATGCAAGCCAATGCTGCCAAATGTAAAATGATTACCCTTACCCGCTCTCACTCTCCGATCATTTTTGATTACTCTATGAATCAATCGCCGCTGGAAAGGGTTAATGCCATTAAGGATCTTGGGCTCATCTTGGACAGCAAACTACGGTTTAACGAGCACATATCCATGACAGTTGCAAAGGCCAATTCCATGCTAGGATTTTTGCGCCGCAATACTGCACAATTCCACGAGGTGTACGCCCTGAAAGCGCTGTACTGCTCTATGGTCCGCAGTGTTCTTGAATATGGAGTACAAATTTGGGCTCCATATCATGCTGTTCATGTACTGCGCATCGAGAGAATCCAGAAACAGATAGCTTACCTCCGTACGAGCATAGATGTGCGCTTATTGGACTGCAAACACCAACAAATCGCCGAGTGTTTCTCCAGAGGATGTTCATATTTGACATGATTAGTAATCATATTGACTGCAGTTGTTTGCTCGGGAACATCAATTTCCACACTCCAGCTCGCCGTCTCCGCAACTATTACTTTCTGTGGACTCCCGGACATCGTGCTGCTTACGGTTATAACAATCCTCTCGCTAGATGTTGTAGACTGTTTAATGATGTGTGTGATGTTTTTGATTTTAATATAAGTAGACCAGTTTTTAAGAATAGGATTAAGTCACTTTAAACAGTCGTCTGTATGGTTAAAATGTTAAAGATGGTGGTTTAATAAATAAATAAATAAAAATAGGAAATGCCCTCATACGAAGCAGATATGAATAAGGAGCCCAAATCTACGGAGAAGCTGCACAGTCCAACATTAAAAAAATCCAAACCCTTCAAAATGCGTTCATCAGAAATTCCATGCGGTACCTCGACTCGACTCCAATCCATGTGATGTTGGCGGAATCCGGGCAAATGCCAGTGCAATCACGGACGGAACTTTTGGTATTAAAGGACATCATCAAAAGTAAATAGGTATCACTCAAATCAGTTGATGCGGTTCATCCACCAAGCAGCCAACAACGATGATCTCCCAACTGGCACATACCTTACAAAGATAGCATCCAAACACAACGATATTGTGGCCCAGGTACATCCATCCCAGGTACATGGTCGACGCAAGCCCGGACCTAAAAGTATACCCAAAACTAGACACCAATCAAGCATCCAAACAAAACTGCAACCCAGCAGTTTGGAAGCACACGTTTTTGAATGTGAAGAACCAATCATTCAGAAACTATCACCATTTGTACACGGACGCTTCTAAGTCACATAATGGAACAGGAACGGCAATCTACAACGACTCAACATAAGAAGTGCGGAATGATCAACGATAATTACTCAATAACAAATGCAGAGCTATTAGCTATACGCAAGGCCACAGATTGGATAGTGGACCAAAATCTCAACAACGCGGTCATATTCACGGACTCGAGCTCAGCATGCCAAACACTGTTAAACGATCGGAAGATCACCAGCAACATACTAGCATGGCAAATCGTCAAAAAAATCAAAGAGAATCCGAAGAACAAAATCGTAATTCATTGGATACCCAGTCACATGGGAATAGATGGCAACGAAAGGGCTGACCACGAAGCCCAGGAAAAATATCAGACAACATCAATCTGTTTATGGCAGATGCACTGCTGCTAGCCGAAAAGGAAATATGGGATCAATGGAAAACAGAATACAACCAAACATCAGCAGAAAAAGGTAAATGGCATTTCAACTGGATGAAAGAGCCAGGCAGAAAAATCTGGTGCAAAGAGCTCACATTGAACAAACAGGAAATAACCACATTACATCGCCTCAAATCGGGACACACCCTAACAAAGGAAAGAAGATTCAACTGGGGTTGGGAAACAGACGATCTATGTGAAATTTGTGAAGTAAAAGAAGCTATCCAGCATCTTCTGTATGACTGTGTGACATTAAATAACGAAAGATCTGAATTTTCAATACTGGAATATTATAAACCACTACAGAAGATACTCGGTGAAAATTTGGAAATCGAACTAAAACAACTAGTTCAATTTATTAAAAGGTGCAAAATCCAGCTCTAAAAGGCAACATAACATAAACAGAACACTAACAACTACAAGAAGCACGACCACAGAGGCGAGATGAACCGAACTCGGTCTTAGCCAACGTCTTAGCGATATACAAAGATCTTCACAAAAGAGAAAATCGACGAAGAGAATCGATCATCGCGTTTACGCCCTTATGCATGCTCACTGTCGAATCCACTAGTGACAGCGAGTCACCTCACCTCACAAACCACGCAGAATAGGAATCCCCTTCCAGATAATAGAAATCTAAGATTTTTTTTTAAAAACGGGTGGAAAATCATGATAAATCTGGATTTTTTTCTTTTTTTCATTGAACAGGGTGTCAGCATGAGGAATCACTCACCTATATCCTCGAAGCCATTCAAAGTTATCGATGATACTCCAAGCCGTAAATCCGATTACCTTGCACCTGTCCACCAGTATAGCGTCCAACAGCGCACTCAAATGGCTCCTGTAATAATCCACCCGTTCATGGTCGTCCAACTGACCGTCGTCCGAAAAACCGTTCTCAGTGATAAACACAACAGGATCATTGTATTCCTCCTTGAACCAGTTGAGCATTCCTCTCAATCCCTCTGGTACAACGTACAGCCAGGTGGATTTGGCTCGCTTCCACGAGGGTTCAACAGTATACTTTAACCCGGCGTCCTTATCCACCGACGGCGGAGACGATACATTGTACTCTCGCTTGTCCAGTGCAACCAATCGACTACTGTAGTAGTTATATCCGAAAAAATCTGCTGTTCCCCGAACATATTGCTTCACCTCTTCGGTCATCTCCGGCAGTCGGGACATGGACCGACCTTCGCGAAGGCTATGATCTTCGATGTCTTCCACCATAACCGGCGGGTAACCACCGGCTTCGTTGAACAGCGGATGGGCAAACCATCCAATTTGAAACTGCAGTGCACGATCGATTACATCGACGCCGGTTTCATTGTTCGCCGGATAAAAGTACCTTCCGCTGAGCGTAATTCCAATTTCTCCCTTCTGATCTCGACGGTAGCTTTTGTCATACAGATGATAGGCAGCGGCATGGCTGAGCAGAACGTGGTGAGCGCAAAGGTATTCTCCGACACCCGGGGCATAGACCATTGGGCCGTCAATTCCGTATCCGTAGCCTTCGACACAGAAATCGTACGGTTCATTGTGGGTGATCCACAGTTTGACGCGATCACCAAAGTTTTGAAAGAGGACGTTGGCGTAGATTTTGAAATATCTCACGAAAAGCGGCGACGCCAAGCCGCCCAAATCCTGTAGATACTGAGGAACGTCGTAATGGACCATTGTGACAACTGGTTCAATACCAGCCGCCACTAGGGCATCTATCAGTTTGTTGTAGTAGTCCAATCCTGCGTGATTTAGGGAGGAGATATCGCCTTCCGGAAGGATCCTGGCCCAGGAGATTGAGAACCGATAGAAGTTGAACTGAAATCAGTCAGTTCTTCAATGTTTGCTCTCGTCACAAAGCGAAATTGTAAAACTTACCCCTATTGCCGTAAGTGCAGCTATGTCCTCCTGATAGAGGTGGTACGAATCAGCAGCTACATCACCCGTGGCTCGATCAACGACGATTTCCGGGTGGGTGTGAGTAAGGGTATCCCATACGGAAGGTCCCTTGCCGTCTACATTCCAGGCGCCTTCGATTTGATAGGCCGCAGTTGCAGCTCCAAATCCGAAGTACTTGGGGAACTTCTTTTCGGTTTGATCGTAGGCGTTGATTTCATGAACTTTGTGTACATTGTTGGACCAACGGTTAAAAGGTGAGGCGGTTACAATCTTTGGCAAACTGGAGCTACAAGTTTGTTGAATTAATATGTGGCAAAGCCAGACGCAAGCTATCACCAGCTTCATATTTAGTGGCGAACTGCAGTCGACCAGATACGGAACGAGACTAGTTCAAGTGAATGATCTTTCTGCTTTTGTTGTATTTACTAATCAATGAAGAGCGCCCTGTTTGGTGGTTGTGCTACGTGCTCGGTAGATTGTATTTGTACTGTGCAAGCTGGTTTGATGATTACCTACTTGTTTACGTTCAAGACGCCGTAAGCTGTAAGAGATATGAAAATCGATTAAACGAATGCGCGAGTACAGTGATCACTCCTGCAAACCAACCATATCAACTGGTAGAGGAGACATTCCTCTACTTCCAGGTGTTGTTAGTAGTTAGTTTGCATGTGTGAGCTTTATGCGCGAGAAATCGACGGCTAAAGCCATTGTTTACAAAAAGCAGTTTCGCCTTTTTGAATTGTTGATGAAGAACTGCACTACACGTAAATTTGATTTTACCAAATGCCTGGTCTGAATTTCAAAGATCTTCTAGCCTTTTTGAAGCAATGGTTCTTTGATTACATATAGAGCATTTCCAGCTCAAATCGTAAAAAAAATGTCAATTTTGTCTCGACCACTTCTGATTTGAATGAAACATTGCTCACGTGTTCGCTGCTACTAATGGTTGCATTTTTCATTTAAATATGATTTTTTCCTCCAGAGTAACTTTTGAAAAGGGCGTATAAAAAATGGATTAATTTTTTGCAAAAAATCATAACTTGAAAACAATTGATCTGATGAAAATGGCATATGAGAAAAAGTTTTAGGTAAATTGTCTTTGCGAAAAAAATACACTGAAAGAAAAAACTTCGTAAATTAGTATTTAAAAAACGTAAAACGATGATTATCTCAAAACACCCCCCCCCCCTTCGATCTTAATAAAAAAAAATTCAAGAAAATTGATGGAATACCCTTAAATTTCGTGAAAAGTGTATGCTGGTAACTTTCCTCGTAACTTTCTTAAAAAGAAATCTATAATTTTTAAATTTTTGTTGATTTTTACAAGTTGATGAAAATGCATATTTTATAGTAAAATAATAATTTATTTGGATTCTACGCATAATTTTCGATAACTTTGCATACAGAAACTTTTTTCCTAAGTCCAGCCGTTCTCAAGTTAATGCGAATTAAAAAAATATAATTATAACAATTTTCAACATTTTAGGCCATTTTCAAATGTTCGTCGAAATGTCCAGCAACGAGATTTTTTTTCATGATTGTATATTAAAAAACAAACAATTCATTCTCAGATATGGTAGCTGTCAGACTTACCCGTTTCTATCTAGAGGCAGCGGAAGAGAAGCACGTTGATGTGGTCAAATGAAAGATTTGTTGAGATAAGAAACAGTATATATTTATTATTTTATTTTACAACTCATATTATTTGAATACATTGAATAATTAGGGTGTATCGTTTGAATTAGAGAATATTTTTACTGCAATTTGGTTGTTTGAAACTGGAATATAGCAATGATATTTTCGAGTTCCAGGAATTGGTTTCACTTTCTTAAAAATTGGATCAAATTCCGTGTCAGCCTTTTTGTATTCTTCCGTAGAAACATAACAAAATGACATTTTTGTTTGAAGATCTTCTTTACGACTATTTGCCCAGTCGTACAGTTGTTTAGGGTTCGTTATAGGGTGCTCGTGTTGCTTAGCTAAACTTGCTCTGGTTGCCATTCTCTTAAGGGTACCGCCAATCGCATCACAAGGACCTTTGCCGTGTGAAGTTGCAAAAAAATGCCATTCAATTGCTACATTATGCTTATCTTTAAATCCACAAAGGCTAGCAAAATTTGTTATGTTTTTGTATTGTGATGCTGCTCCATCTGACATAAAAATACACTTTTGGACTGTTATTTGCGACTTTAAAAATTCTAATAATTTTGAGATAAACAACTGAACTGCTACTGTGTCATGCTTTGAAATGTCCGAAATAACCACAAAACTTAAATGGTTTAGTGTACCATTATCATTAAAATAAACGACAAATGGATGAATTGTACATTGAGAATTATTCCAATGATAGCTTTGAACCTAGTTACCGCTCAACTTCAGAGCCAAGCAGACGCTTATACGCTACAGCTAATTCTGGAAGTCGATACCAAGCTTAAATTCTTTTCGTTTCGCTGCGTTATCTCATCGCCGAGCCGTTGTGTGTTTCTGCGTACTACGACTCTGCGATGGTGCGCCGCGAGAACACATTCCGCATAGATTATGCGGCTTTGCCAAAAAAACCGGACTATGCGAAGGTGCAAAATTTCGTTGGAACTGTTCTGGGCTTAAAGCCAGGTGAAGTGATACGAATTCAGTGTAGCCGAAGTCTCGGATGTGCTTTCGTGAAGGTCGTCGACCTGGCGTTGGCACAAAAAGTGTGCGAAGAACACGACGGAAAACACGAAGTGATAGTGGAGGGAGAGAAGAAGATCCCCCTGCGAATAACGATGGAGGACGGAGCAGTGGAGGTGAAGATATTCGATCTGTCTGAGGACGTGTCGGACGATGCGATCACAAAATTCCTATCCGCTTACGGTGACGTCATCTCAGTGCGTGAACAGATGTGCGGTAGCGATCAACAATATCAATTTCCGAATATCTCCACTGGTGTTCGGATTGAGAAAATGATTGTAAAGCACAACATTGAGTCGTGGGTCTTTGTAGATGGTAAATCGACGTTCCTATCTTATTTTGGCCAACGTCAAACCTGCCGACACTGTCGGGAATTCATCCACATCGGCGCGTCCTGCGTACAGAACAAAAAGCTGCTTGTTCAAAAATCGTTTGCCGATGCCACGAAACAGCCAGCAGCAATGTCAACAAAAACAATTGCGAAGCCGCCAGCCTCAAAACCAGCGTTGCCGAGTCAATCTACGTCGGGACTGAGATACCCGCCACCGAAGAAGCAGAAGCAGCAGCAGCAGCAGCTGATGCCGGTACCTGCAACAAAACCGATCGACACACAATCGGAACTACATTTTCCACCGCTTACTACCCCGATCATACCCATATCGGGTTCGAAGCAACCATCGGATAGCAGGTCGTTGTCTAGTACTTCTGGTCAACAACCTCCTGTTACTGGCAAAGCCGATGGCAACGAGACAGACGAATCAGCAATGTCAACCAACAGCACACGTTCGAGAGGGCGCCGCCAAACTAGGAAACGGCGAGACGGCAGCGACGACGAGCGAGATCAGGACTTTTGAAAATGGATCAGTTCGCCAGTTACAACGTTGCCACCATAAATATAAACACGATCACCAACGAAACGAAACTCAACGCCCTCCGAACTTTTTGTAGAACGATGGAACTCGACATCGTTTTTCTGCAAGAAGTGGAGAACGAGCAGCTCTTCATTCCTGGCTACAACCTCGTCGCAAACGTTGATCACACAAGGAACGGCGATAGCACTGAAGGAGTACATACGTTTCTCTCATGTCGAGAAGAGCTTAGATGGACGACTTGTTGCTCTCCGCATCGAAAACACGACTCTAGCCAACATATTGAGTCGGTGTACAATGAGTCACGCCAAGAGTGAAGCCAAGTCTACCTATTGAACTGTCAAACCGGCTACCTATCGTGCAAAGTAAACAAGCATTACGATGCTATGAAAGGTCCACGAAAGGTATTGCAATTAAATATAAAATATAATCGAAGAAATGATCATATACACGCAGTGAGCATTACATTTGACATGCGATACGTTTTGTAATGATCAGTAATGACAATTTCTACTATTTTTCTTTAAGATAATTCGACAAAATCACTGATATAATGATTTACTACAGCCGTTAATTTTTTTCCTCGTTAGAAGTCATTTGAAGTTGATGCAGAAGTCCTCTGTTGCCAAGTTAAAATAAAGGGAATCTTTCAAAAACCGTGTTGCGAGTTCAACTGTTTTTCTCTTGGCGTGACTCATTATACACCGACTCTAATATGCACCGTCGGGCACAGCCATGCGCGCCGAACGAGAGAGTTTTTTCAATAATACCATTGCTTACTATCTGCGGCACAATACAGAAAATATACTCCTCGCCGGCGACTTCAACTGTGGACTGCGACCATGTGACTCGTCGGGCTACAATAACAGCCCCGCTCTCCAATCCACCATACAGCAGCTTCAACTAAGCGACGCCTGGGTGAGTCTGTATCCCACGACCCCCTCGCCCACATATATAACACACAACTCTGTCTCTCGGCTCGATCGCATGTACGTCAGCAATGGACTCTGCACAAAACTGCGAAATGCAGCCACACATGTGTGTTCGTTCACGAATCACAAAGCGCTTACTGCTCGAATATGTCTTCCCAGCCTTGGCCGCGAACCTGGTCGCGGTTATTGGTCATTGCGTCCTCACCTTCTGAATGCAGAAAACGTCGGCGAGTTCCAGATTACATGGCAATATGTAACCCGACAGAGACGGAACTTTCCAAATTGGATCACATGGTGGCTGTCATACGCTAAGCCGAAAATCCAGTCCTTCTTCCGATGGAAATCTCGCGAGGCATACGGCGAGTTTAATGCAGAACACCAACGACTGTACGCGCAGCTTCAGCAAGCGTATGATGGTTATTTCCAGAATCCAGCGATGATAGCTACGATTAACCGCGTGAAAGCACAGATGCTCGCACACCAGCGCAGCTTCTCGCAGAACTTCATGCGCATCAACGATACCTTCATTGTAGGTGAAAACATTAGAACGTTTCAGCTAGGAGACCGACGGAGGAAAAAAACCGTTATCACAGAGCTGCGTGGCGAAAACAACGAAACTCTAAACGCCTCCGAAGCAATCGAAAACCATCTGTTTCGTTACTTCAAGGAATTATACACAGCGACAGAAGAAAATGATGGAGCACGGCACCCTTTCCAATGCGAGAGAGTGGTACCCGAAAATGACGAGTGCAACGAAGCTTGCGTGGCAGAAATTACAACATCCGAGATTTTGTCGTCTATTCGTACATCGGCTAAAAGGAAGGCTGCAGGAAGCGACGGGCTACCCGTCGAATTTTACCAACGTACATTCGATGTCATCCACCGAGAACTGAACCTCGTATTAAATGAGGCTCTGACAAATGAGCTACCCCCTGAGTTCGCCAACGGAGTAATTGTGTTAGTGCGAAAGAGAGGAACGGCAAACACCGCTCGAGGATACCGCCCGATCAGTCTTCTGAA